CCAAACAAAGAAAACCACATTTTTGTGACCTCTCTCCTCTGCCTCATCCCCTATAACCAAATCACCAAATTGTTTTCATTGTGAATGTGGAGGACAGGACTTAGCATTTTGTTTAGTGTCATCAGGCACCCAAGACCTCTTCATCTTTGTGACCTTCAACCCTGTGTGTGTAGACCTTTACTCTTATACTTCCTGCCTCATGGTCACAAAATGAGTATCGAACCTCCAGGCCATGTGTGTCCAGTCCAGGCAAAAAGATGGGAGAAGGGAGAAGGGACGGGCTTTCCTAAGTGAGCTTTGTCCTTGTGAACAAGAAAGGGAAGCCCTTTATAGGGACTCTACCTCACTAACCAGAATATCATCATATGGATGCCTGCAATTGTAAAGGAGGCTGATATGTTAACCATGTAATTAACAGGCATGTTGCTGCCTTAAAAAACAGGAGTTCTATTAGGAAGAAGGAAGTATGAAAACAATGTCATGGGTTACAAACAGTGATTGCCACACACAAAAATAAAATAAAATAAAAAAATAAAAGAGTATATGTGTTTCAATCCGAAAGGTACTTTTCTTAATCCTAAAGGTACTTTTCTCAATCTTGGTCTTAAATTGCAGTATTTTTATGTTCACTATAAATACACTGTAATTTTCCTTTGTTTTTATCATTACTGAGAATGTAACAAGGTACAGAATAGAATGCTTGTTATGCAAAATCACATGTAAGAAAAAGGTAGGGTGAAACATTTATCATCTTTGCTTATATTTGCAAAGGGAATCTTTGGAAGGATTAATAGATCAGAAACAAAAAAAGTGTTTATTTGTTGGGATCAGAGTTTGGAACAGGGTGATTAGCCAAGAGGTATTAATAAGTCTTCTCACTATATGCCATTTTTCTTTTAATTTTTTAAATATATGTATTTACCATGTGTATTACATACTGAAAAATTAATAATAAAATAAGTATGCATTCCCCAAATAACTAAATAAAATGTAAAAATTAAAAGTATGCTTCTGTATTGATCTTATTAACATTTCTTTGCAACATAGCCACTTAATTCTTTTAACCACTCAAAGTATAGTTGAGCTCTTTTTTCTTTTACAACTTAATGAGCCATATAATTTTCCATCTAAATAAAAACTTGATGGAAGCTAATGTAATTACTTATTTATTTTCTATACTAACACAAAAACAAATCCAATAACAGTACTTAAACTATGCAATGAGTGATATTGATGTTATAGTGTTTTTTTTGGCAACCATCCTTTGAATACATTCCACAAACATTGAACTACCAAATTACTTTGTTCTTGAATCAACAGTAGTAATTCCTCATTCTGTTGTGATTATGTCAGATTTCACATTAAATACTATGTTCCAATATTTTAGGTTCATTTTTTAATTTAAAACTATAACTGAAAGTTTTTACCTGATAGCAGCTTTTACCTAATAGCTCCTCACATAAAGAATTGTGGAAGTTAGTTCTAACCTTCTAAATATTTATATCCGGAGTCGTATATTAAAAATCTTTTAGCCACTGTGGCAACACTATTAGTGATCACTAATGGGTTTTTTCCTCTTCTTCCTGGAGAAGCAGCCATACAACCGTTTTTAACATTTCTTTTTATTAAGTATGACCATTTGACTGAATTTTGGCTAATGCAATGAGAGGTCGATGATGCTGCTACTTTTAGGCCTGGCTCATAAAACCTCTCACCTATCATTTTCATTCTTTTGTCTGATAGAGTGAAGAGGATTTCCTGGACTTAGAAGAAAGGGATGAACAGACTGGAAACCAACTGGATTACTGAATGACTACATGGAGAAGAATCTGCCCACTTTCCTTTCAACAACATACATTGGGCTTACTAAGTATTCAATATTTATGGCATTAAGACATTGACAATTTATAATTATTATGAGAATTAGTCCACCTGGCTAATAGAGACAACCATCTGGAACATCTGAAATTATTTAAAGGGATTGTTAAATATATAAGTTCACAAGTTCCTGCAATTTTTCCTTCAAAATAGACTAAAAAAATTAAAATCCAGAAAATATTATTGTAATCTATTTTTTAAAATCAGCATTTAAAGTGATTTTTAAAATTTGAGGTATGGTTACAATTAGCAAAATGTTATAGGCCAAAGAGAACATATAGTATGTTTGATTAAAGCACTCAGTTTTAGGTGTCAAATTCAAGATTAACTTCAGTGAAAATTTTGCCCTATGAGTATGTTTCATCTTTTCTTTTTTTCTGGCTTGTTAACATTTTTCTCCACATTATATCTATTTTCTCACTAACTTGACATAACAAATATTTAAGTAAATATTACAGACCATTTCCAAATCTTAATTTAACATGATTACTCTTTTTATTAATTATCTTAAGTTCTGGCTTTAGGATGATTATATAGATGAGAATATAAAATGAAGATCATATGGAAAGCATAGAGTAAACTTTGTTCTTTTGCTTTTATTCCCTTTATTAATATTATCTAGTATTTAAAAAATCATTTGGTCTAAAAAGAAAAACTATTCTCTGAGCCACATAAAGGAGGAGAGATTAGTAAAAAGTATAAGTAGAATATTATAATATTTGTTAGAAAAATTTGCACTTAATAAATTTAAAATATAAAATACACACTTTTAATAGTTTATGTAAAATTTTCTTTTAAGTCTTCATTTTTATGAGCTAATCTTGTGTGTGTGCAAGCATGTGTACATGTATGTATTTACTACTGCCACTAAAGGCTTACCATTATAAATCTAAAATATTACCAATTAATTCATGTACTCATAAATTATTTACTGCTTCACAGAGATAAGTTTTATCAGTTTTAATTCTATTTTTTTTATTTTAAAGGTGCAGGCATTAAGAAAACTTATTTACAAAAATAGCCAGGGATATGAAAAGTTGTGATGTGGTGTTGTCATTTCATTATTTGAAATCCATGCAAGATTGTGACAATGAAAACATAATCAGGTTGATTAGAAATTCCTTCAGTTATTTTTAAGAGAAAAGAATGGAACCCACCTGACTTTAAAGGATTTGTTATCCATGTGTAACAAATTACAATGAGGTTAAATCGTCTCTCATGCTGCATGTCTACATGGTTCTGCTCCGGGTATCTGCTCTCTGGACTCAGGCTGCCAACTCTATCTGGAATACTGGCTTTGTTATGGAAGCAGGAAAAGAGAAGTGATCGATCACACACTGGTTCTTAAAGTGTGTGCTCACATTTCTCTCTCTGTTCATCAGCCCCTTTGCCAACCCTGAGAGCAGCTGGGCCAGGGCTGTGTGATTCCAATGAAAGACTTGCCACAACCAAGGGCACGAGTGGGGGTGAATCATAATCCAGTCCCACATTATGCTTAAGATTTTTATCCTCTCTAGCTGATTATCCTAGAAGCAACAGAACACCATTGAGTACAATTTTCATTTTCATTACATTACTCTGGCAACAGTGAGAACAAATGGAATGGGCACGAATGAATGTAGGGAGAATAATTTAAAGGGCATATCAGTTTTCCAAGCCAAAAAAAAAAAAAAAAAACACCCCCCAAAACACAAAAACTAACAGTGCTTTAAACTGTGAACATGGCAGTAAAAAGGGAGAGAAACCAATAAATATAAAAGACGAAAGGATCTAGTGATGTGCAGAGAGAATCTGAGATAAGGGCTGTTGTGGCCCACAGGGGGCAGGTGGTGGTGGAGGTGGAAGAAAGGCAGCCCACAAGGTTTCTCGTGTCTTATCAGTTGCTGGCTCCAGTCATTTAAGAAGTTCAGCTACTCTAGACTCTGTTTATTCTTGGGTCCTCTTTATTCTTATCATAAACATTCCCCCTTTCTTAAAAAATTCATAAGGCCAGTAACAAAAGGAACAAATATATTAATAAGGTAATGAGATGCTGGGTGAACTGACAAATGAGTGACAGAGTGACCAGGAAAAAGAATTCATATCACAAATGTTCAAAGAGAGAGGTGAAACCAGATGCAGCCAGAAGAAAAAGAAAGTCCTCTCTGCTTTACCAACACATCAGGGTCTCTCTTCTTCCAGGCAGCAGGACTCCCCACACGTCCCTTTCAGAGTCCCAGACTGCCTCTCAGGAGTGGGAGTCCTCTGCATTCACTAACTTCCCCAAAGAGATTTTCTGTAGCATTAGCAGCATCAGGCAAACTCACAGGAACTTGGAGCCTGGGGTTCACACAGACACAGAAAATCCAGATCCCAGAGAGGGGAAGCAATTCCCTCGGGGCTGCACAGTCAGGGTCTGAGTGGGACTGGAAGCTAGTCCTCAGCTGCTGGCTCAGACTGAAGTCATTTCCTTTTGAAGACTGTTGGGTGATGATGTCCATTTCTCAGTCCTGAAAACACATACTGTAGGTGCTCAGATTTTTGTTGACTGAATAAATAATTATAATCTGATAAAACAAACAAACAACACAAAAACCAGCAGGTCTTGAAGCTGGGAGTGGATCCCAAATACTGTCATGAAAAAGGACAGCTCACCTGGTAGGTGTTGCTCAGTGGTTGAGCATAGACCTATGAACCAGGAGTTAACAGTCTGATCTCCAGTCAGGGCACATACCTGCGGTACAGACTTAATCCCTAGTAGGGGGTGAGCAGGAGGCAGCCAATCAATGATTCTTTCTCATCATTGATGTTTCTATCTCTCTCTCCTCTTCTCTCTGAAATCAATTTTTAAAAATTAAGGGGGGAAAAAAGGACATCTCCCTCCTTTTTGATACGGTTGAAATGGGAATTGGGAACAGAAGTAATACCAAGGCTTCTTTTGTAAACAGAAAACAATAGACTGTTCCTGGAGGACATGAGCTGGCCCCATCCCCTTAACTCTATCAGGCATCACACTACCTCCCACCACAGGAACGGGGTGAGCAGCTCATAAGTTTCCATGGAGAGGGAGGTCACATGACCCAGAGCTAGCCAATCAATATATTGCACTTTAAAAACCACAATGATTAACTCAGGGCTGGGCGTGTGACTAGTCAGGTCCCATGATTCAGTCCCTAATGTTGGAATCATGGGAGAAGAGAAGTTCTATTTCAGTTGGAGAGCTGAGCAGTTATGCTCTGAGTCTGTGGCTGTTGGAGGCCATCTTGCTTTCATAAAAAGAAAGCCCAGGTGAGAATGACAACAGCACAGAGGGAAGTAAAGCTAAGAGATCAGAAGAGGCCTTCTATGCTGAATTCTTAGGGAGTCCAGGTACAGTCTTGCCTGAAGCTGTCTACACTTAGACATCTTAGTTACATAAATTGTTTCCTCCTCCTCTGATTCGTTGCTTGTTTTCTGACATTGGCTATCAAGAGAATTCTGACTTTTCTTTCCAGCAGGCTAAATGGAGTTTCCTGGAACTTCCAACAGTAGGGATAAGGTCAGCTGCAAGGAGGAACTTCCAGCTAACACTGTAAGTCTTGAACTTAATCTTAAGATCAAAATGAGTTTAAGCAATATCTATTGAGGGCTGACTACTGGCTAAACCAGCCGTGGGCAAACTACGGCCCGCGGGCCGGATCCGGCCCGTTTGAAATGAATAAAACTAAAAAAAAAAAAAAGACCATACTCTTTTATGTAATGATGTTTACTTTGAATTTATATTAGTTCACACAAACACTCCATCCATGCTTTTCTTCCGGCCCTCCGGTCCAGTTTAAGAACCCATTGTGGCCCTCGAGTCAAAAAGTTTATCCACCCCTGGGCTAAACCAATGTAATCCTTGTAAGATTAACCCTGTTAAGGTAACAAATGCTCAGCACTTGAAGGCAGGCATGAGCAAGATCTGACAGTTGGGACTGCACTCTCAAGTGAAGAGGCTGCAGAAGCCTTCAGGGTTCAGGAGCAGTGCTTGGGCCAAAGCGATGCCCTAGGTTTTCTGACGGCTGTGGGCTTCTGGCTAAGGAGGTGGGGGGTAAGGGGCAGATTACCAGGTCCCAAAGCTGTCCTGAAGGCCCACTGTGTGCAGATTCAGAGTGGACAGAGAATAAAAACCAGAAGCTTTTCTCAGGGATGTTCACAGATCAAATAAGGACACCCCAGATAGAGCATGATAGTTCATTAACTGCGTTCATGGTGAAGGGCAGGGTGATTGAGCAGAGACCCAGGTGTGCTAGGGAACTTTTAAAGACAGAGAATTTTGAACTGAGACTTGAAGTAAAAGAAAACCCACATAAGAGTGACAAACTACAAAGGGATATTAACTTTTAATGTTGAAAGATGATGTGAGAGATGGCAGATTCAAAAGTGGCCTGGTGGCCCAACAATATCATATACTTTATTACTTGAATATTTTACTATATCCATATATTAATTTTTAACTAAAAATGGTTTATAGAGCATCTTTCACCAATTTATATTTTCCCACTCTTAAACATTAATATTAAGCCAAATCATAATTCAAATTATAAAATTCTTCAAATCCTTTATGTCCAGTGGTCTAATAAGAATTTCAAGAAACTTTATACTACTTGACATATTTTTAGATGAACATCTAAAATTCTTCATTGAAAATTGACATAGCTGCAAAGAATTAAAGGGGATATAAAGACTTGTGATGTGACATTGTTGTTTGATTCTTCGAAATCTTTGCAAAATTGTGACAAATACAATAATCAGGCTGATTAGAACTTCCTTGAATTATTTTTAAGAGTAAAGAGTAAAGATCCCTCCCTTCTACCAAATCTCAGTGGCCTACAATGAGGTTTAATTATCTCTCATGGTGCATGTCTACATGGTTCTGCTCCATGTTATCTGCCCTCTGGACTCAGGCTGTCAACTCAGTCTTGAATACTGTCTCTGTTGTGGAAGAAGGAGAAGAGAGGTGATCAATCAAACATTGGTTTTTAAAGTGTGTGCTCACATTTCTCTCTCTGTTCATTAGCCCCTTTGCCATCCCTGAGAGCAACAGGGTCAGGGCTGTGTAATTCCATTGAATGACTGGCATCAATCAAGGGCACTGAATGGGGGTGAATTGTAATCCAGTCCCACATTATGCTTAAGATTTAGATGTTTACCCAAGGAGTGATGGAATGCCACTGAGTACAATTTTCATTTTCAATAAATCACTCTGACCATAGAGAGGAGAATAGAAGATTAGAAATGGGCAAGAGTTGATTTAGGAAGAAAATAAGAAGGCCATTTCAGTCTTTCAAAAAAGTAAAATATGATAGAGCTTTAGACTAGGGTCATGACAGTGGAAATGGAAAGAAACCACAAAAGTTAAACCATAGGAGGATCTAGTGACGCTGAGAGATGCTGTGGCCTCAAGTGATGGGTGCTATTGGTGGTGGAAGCCATAGCCAACATGGTTTCTCATGTCTTACCAGTTAGTGACTCTGGTCTATTGAGGAGTCAAGCTATTCTAGTCTCTGTTTTTGGGTCTTGTTTTCTCCTAACAAATATCCCCTCCTTCATAATAAATAAGTAAATAATTAATTAACTAATTAATTAAGCCAGTTAAAAGGGGAACAATATATTAATAAGGTAATGAGATACTGAGTGAACTGACAAATGAGTGACAGATTGGGCATGGGAATTTATCTGTATCCACAAATGTTCCAAGAGAGAAGAGAAACTAGACTCAGCCAGAAGAAAAAGAAAGTGCTCCCTACTGGGCTTGCCTCAGAGGAATCCCTCCCTTCTACCAACACATCAGGGGTCTCTCTTCTTCCAGGCAGCCAGGACCAATTTTAGCTGCAAGGGAGAAAGGAGGGGTGGGCAGGAGAAGAAGAGGGGAGGAGGAGGGAAGTGGATGATGGATGGGCTCCTTGGACCGTCTACATCATCCTCTCCTTCCCTCTCCTCCTTTCCATCAATGTCCCTACACTTCCCTTTCAGAGTCCCACATTGCTTTGCAGGGTTGGGAGGGCTCGGGATTCGTAAACTCCCCCAAAGAGATTTTTTGTAGCAGCAGCAGCAGCAGCAGCAGACAACCTTCCAGGAACTTGGAGCCTGGGGTCCTCGCAGACACAGAAAACCCAGATCCTCCTCTGTCCTGGGCTCACAACTGGAGAGACATGTTCTGAGATTGAGCACAGTATGTCAGAGCTGAGGGGGTGCTGGGATTTCATTTACCCCAGAGCCTCGTGTTGCTGATGAGAAAGCAGGAGCCCAGGGAGGGGATGCAATTCCCTCAGGGCCACACAGTGAGGGCCTGAGTGGGACTGGAAGCTAGTTCTAGATGCTGGTTCATATATAACTCATTTCCTTTGGAAGACTCCGGGGTGATAAATTCCCCAGAATAATTAACAATCTTGAAAACTTCCAGTAGATCATTGTAGGTGCTCAGTAGATTTTTGTTGGCTAGATAATTATAATCTGACACACACAGAAAAATAGCAGGCCTTGAAGCTGGGAGCGGATCTCAAATCTTGAATTCAAAAAGGACATTTCACTCCTTTTTTTTATATAGTTGAAATGGGAATTGGGAAAGGACGTGATGCCACATAGCTTCTTTTGTAAAAAAGAGACAAGTGCCCTGTCAGTGTAGCTCAGTGGTTGAGCATTGCCCTATGAACCAGGAGGTCACTGTTCAATACCTGGTGAGGGCACATGCCTGGGTTGGGGGCTCAATCCCCAGTGGGGAGCAGGGTGGTTTACGCAGGAGGCAGCTGATCAATGATTCTATCTCATCATTGATGTTTTTATCTCTCTCTCCCTCTGCTTCCTCTCTGAAATCAATAAAAATACGTTTTAAAACAAATAAAGGAGACAACAGGCTGTGGGTAGAGGATATGTGCAGATCCAACCCAGGAAATTAACCAAGAGGAAGCTGGAGACCCATCCCTGCTCTATCAGGCATCACACTACCTCCCACCCCAGGAACAGGGTGAACAGCTCTAAGTTTCCATGGAGAGGGTGGTCCCATGACCCAGAGCTGACCAATCAGTACATTTCACATCCTAAACCATAGTGATTGGCTCAGGGCTGGGCATGTGACAGTCAAGTCCCATGAGTCAGTCCCCAGTGTTAGAATCATGGGAGAAGTTCTATTTCAGTTGGAGAGCTGAGCAGTTATGATATGAGCCTGTGGCTGTTGGTGGCCATCTTGCTTTCATAAAGAGAAAGCACAGGTGAGAATAACAGCAGCGCAGAGGGAAATAAGCAAAGCCAAGAGGTCAGAGGGGTATGTTTGCTGAATTCATGGAGCGCTCAGGTAGTCTTGCCTGAGCTGTCTATACTTAGACATCTCAGTTACATAAACTGTTTTCTTCTGCTTTGATTGTTTGCCTCCCATCTAATCTGGATTTCCAAATGAAGTCAAGTGGTATCTGTGAGAGCTGGATACTGGCCAAACCAAATTAATCCTCATGGTATTGATTAACCCCAATAAGGTAGCAACTGATGTTTCCATTTTAGAGGGCAAAATTGAGGCTCAGAGAAGGGAGGTCCAGAGTGAGGAAGCGAGGAGCCAGACTGCACACCCACATTCTGCTTGTACTCTGGGAAGATGCTTAATGTAACTTGTCCACACGAGGGTGGCTAAGGCACCCTGCTCTATACCCAGTGTACCGTGGGTGCCTGAGGCTTGGAAACTGTCCTGTGCAGGAGACTTGTAGAACCCATTTCACTGATGGGTGGTGCTGGACCTTTTTTCACTGGCATGAACTCACCCTCCTAGCTTCCCCATGCCCAGCATCCTGTCTCGTTTTCCTGGGCAATAACACAAATGCTCATGTAACCACAGAGGCAATCATCCATTCTCAGAATAGCATCTGGAGCTACCAGAGGTGAGAACAAGAGTGTTTGGCCCTCCACTATACCAGGTGACATCTTCTTCCTTTGGATTTGGGAAACCGTCCTCCCCATTTACACACCAAGGGCTTTTCCAGGACATGCAGAGAACCTCACCCAGTGTGAAAGGGATGGATCAAGCCCTTTCTATGTCTCCCTTCGACGGAGGTCATGTTCTCCTTTCTATGCACAAGGCCTCCTGTTGCTGATGGGAGGCTGAGCTGACCGTGAGTCGACAGCTCAGCATTTGAAGGCAGGCATGAGGCAAGATCTGACAGTTGGGACCTCATACTAAAGCTGAAGAGGCTATAGAAGCCCACAAGGTTTGGAGGCAGTGCTTGGGCCAAAGTTATTTCCTAGGTTTTTGCCCACTGTGTGCATGCTCAGTGTGGACAGAAAGGAATAGACAGGCATGCCTCAGGGCTCTTCACAGATCAAATAAGGGCACACCAGACAGACAGACACCATAGCTCATGAGATGCTTTCAGGGGGAAGGGCAGGGGCCTTGAGGAGACACATGTGCACTGAGGAAGTAGTTAAGGACAGACAATTTTCAACTGAGACTTGAAGGCTGTAGTAATTAGATATGAGTTTGGTTGAAGTAACAGAAAACCTACTAAGAGTGGCTTAAACTATAGTGTCTTCTAACATTTAATATTGTGCATGATGTGAAAGATGGGAGGTCCAGGGCTGGTCTGGTGGCCCAACAATGTCAAAATACCTCAGATGCCTTGTACCTCTGCACTCCATTACCAGAATATATTTCTCACTCCCTCATGGTAGCACTATGGCTGCCTGCACACCAGCCTTCACATCTGCATAGTTAGTGCTTAAGCCAGAAGCAAGGGGCCACCTTCTTCCCAGCCCATTTATTTCTCTACAGGAAGGAGCATCTCTTCCACAAGCCCTGGTAGACATCCTCTAATATCTCATTGGTTACAACTGGGGCTCAAGTTCCCCAGCCAAACACTAGCAGAGGCAATGCAGTTGCTCTAACTTCCTGGAGTAATTATGATTTTTTTTTTCAAACTGAATATCCACAGGAAGAAGGCAATATGCTGGGTGAGCAACCAACATCATCCTGCCGTAAAGGAGAAATGAACAAGGTAGCTGAGGGTTCAAAGCCAAGGGAACTGGAGGAACAGAACATGCAAAGGTACAGAAGTGCACGAGACACCTCAGGTGCTCGGGATTGGTAGTGATTCATCACTGCAGGAACACCACACAGGTGGGGAAAGGTGGGCAATGTGTCATATCACATTTTATGCCTGCAGCAAGCAGGCCTTAGGCAATGGGGAGCTACTGAGAGACACCTAGTGAGAAAGAGTGCAGGAGCAAATAGAAAAACCACAGGTGTGCAAGGTCACCTGTATCATAGGATGACCTTAATCAATGACCTAGATTAATGAATTTGCTATTAGCAGCCACCTGTTTCAAGATACTAAAAGAAACACACTCAGCCCTGTTATTTAGATAGCTGCGATGTTACATCTGTAATGCCTGCAACCTCACCTTTCCCTGCCCTGGGCCCAGCCTTCAGCCCACCACCTCCATCCCCCAGGGCACCTGATCCAACCCAGCACTTTGTGTTGTAATAAACATAGGAAGCCCACACCTCTTAGGGCAGTGGTTCTCAACCTGTGGGTCAAGACCTCTTTGGAGGTCGAATGACCCTTTCACAGGGGTCGCCTAAGACCATCCTGCATATCAGATATTTACATTACGATTCATAACAGTAGCAACATTACAGTTATGAAGTAGCAATGAAAATAATTTTATGGTTGGGTCACAACATGAGGAACTGTATTAAAGGGCCAGAAGGTTGAGAACCACTTAGGGCGAGGATAACTATGTCTCAGTTTCCAGAGGAGAAACAGAGGCTGGAAGTCGGTAAGGGGCATGCTGGTGAGCTGTGGGGGTGAACCTTGAGCCCAGAGCCTGTCTTTCCCACTCCACCATGCCACCTCCGGGCTTCAGAGGACTGCACCCTCCTAACTGTTCCGAGATGTTTGATGAACCTGAGCTTCCTCCCACCCCCAGGCCTGCTCTTTATTCTTAGTGATCAAACCCACCATCCCAGTCCCTTCTTAAAGGGGAAAGGGAAAACGCCCAACTCCTGCCTTATAGCCATGAATCAAAGCTGCACTTTGTTGTCCTAGTGTAGACCTCTCGGTCATAATTAGCACAGGCCGCAGGACCACAATTCCCCTTGGGCTCCGTGCAAATGTTAGGTAATGTGAGTGCAGGAAGGTAACACTGGTCTGCCTTTCTGCCCTGCAGTATGGATCACAGCCTTTCACTACAGAACCACATTCGTGCCCTGGCTTGTTTGACTCAGTGGATAGAGCGTCAGCCTGAGGACTGAAGGGTCCAGGCTTCAATTCCAGTCAAGGGCACATGCCTAGGTTGCCAGCTGGGGATGTGCAGGAGGCAGCCAATCAATGATTCTCTCTCATCATTGATGTTTCCATCTCTCTTCCTCTCCATTCCTCTATGAAATCAATTAAAAAAAAAGCAAACAAAAAACACATTCGTTGCTGTTGGGAGTTATGGTGATAATTCTTTCTTTTTCTCCCCCCCACCCCCCCCTTGCCCCATTTAGTTCTGATTCAGTCCAAGGGCTACATCACTACATGCTTCTCAAACTGGAGGATGAACAGCCCTGATTCTGTGCAGGGAGCAGGCCAAACAAGAGTATCCAATGTATCTTTCTGAAGCACCAAGTTTATTACAAGACTTAGAAGAACCAAGTACTTTAATGAGAATCATCCCCTCCTACAAATGTGGAAGGAAAGAGGAACAGGAGAGGTGAAAAGGACCCCAGGGGAACAGGCTGGCTGAGTGGTGGGCCTGCAGCGAGGGGGCCTCTCCTGCTGTACCTGAGGCGGCTTCATCCATCCTCCAAGCTCAGCAGGTATTTTTGGTCTTGAGTTTTGAAGGCCACAGAGATGCCTGGTGCCCTTCCGATGTGAATTTGTGCGGAGAACATCGTGGCAGTTGGCACAGCTCCACTGTCCACTGGATCTAGTGCTCTCTCGCCCAGGGGTCCTGGCACACACAGTGTGCACATTATGCTCCTCTTCTTCTGGAAGCTCTCCGCGTCCAGCCTTTAGTCTTTCTCCCTGCACCATGTGACCTGGCTCCCTGGAGCCCATCATGGTTCAGTTCTTCATTTAAAGTGGAGGATGCGTAGCTTGACCTCCCTGGACTCTTTGGTTGTGTCCCTTCCTTGGCTGTCCACCATTTACATGGCCTCTACATTTTCCCAAGCTTTTTTTTTTTGTGGATGACCTGAGCCGAGCTTTTTCAACATAAAGACCAAGATTCTCCTGGTGACCCCTGCAGGCCCTGGCTGGTTTCCTCTGGGGATCTGCAGCTGCTGCTATGACTATCAGATCATTTTTGGTGTCCAGGAATCCCCAGGGCCACCCTGGAGGCTGGGCTGGGTGTGGCGGCCCCTGACTCCGAGATGACTGGTGGAACGGCTGGCTCTTGAATCTCCTGTCACAACCCCTGGTTCTCAGGCTGCTTATACATTTCCAGACACCTGGAGAACTCTGGGTGAACCTCCTGAGTTGGGGAAGGACCATGGCTGTTGTGGTCAGGGGAACAGAAGGGCCCTATCACAACAGTGAGGCACTCCAGTTTTGGTTTCTTGCTGTTCACAATGAGACAAGTGGCCACTATGTTAGTGAACCCCTTATGCTTTTCTGTCTCTTGGTTCTCATCCCACTCAAACCCCAGGCTCATATCTGCCTGTCACCCAGGAGTCCATGTAGTCACAGGGAGGCTCACTGTAAGGACTGAGTATTTCTTCTTGGCCCATGTTTAGCCTTGGGTCTCCCATAAACTACCTTTGTCCCTTGGATGAGAATCAACAGTTTTTTAAATGTCTTTTTCCAATTCAAAGGATGGATAAATGGCGTGAGGTATTTATTTTCTGCTTAATATCTGCAGCCGCAGCTCCCTAAAGTGTTTTTCTATGAAGGGCAGGTCCCTATCAACATTTTATACAGAACTACTCCTAGGCTCCATACCTCAACCATAGGTCCGTCATATTTTTGGCCCAGAAATAGTTCTGGGCAGCATAAGAGAGGGTACCACAAACGTGCAACTTATCGCCCAAAAACTGAGTGCTGAGTCCAAGTCTCTGGAGGAGCTCTGCTGATTGATGACTTTTATAGCCATTTCTGTACCGTTCAGAACGTGTTGGCCCAACCCCCGCTTCGCTGCCCTCTCCAATGGTGTTATGGAAGTTGTAATGCCCACTGTGGGGCTCCGGGTCCACCATTTTGACGTTCCTCTGAGCATCAATGAACATGCTCTTTGGCTCAGGTCCCTGTGGACCATGCCCCTCTGGTGGCTGTGCTGCACAGGTGATACCAGCTGATGGAAAATACTTCGGGCCTCCTTCTCCGTCATGCGGTAGTGATCCTCCATGTAATCGGATATGTCCCCTCCACTTAGGTGCTCCATGATGAGGCAGAGTTTTCTCCTGGTGCCAGCCACCTCAAATAACTTGATTATATTCTGGTGATTGAATGCCTTCATGCACGGAAGTCCTGCAGGGGAAGTCGCTGGAGGAGCCCTGCTGATTGATGACTTTGACAGCCATTTCTGTACCGTTCAGAATGTGTCAGCCCAACCCCCCCTTCGCTTCCCTCTCCAATGGTGTTGCGGAAGTTGTAATGCCCACTATGGGGCTCCTGGTCCACAGAGATGGCTGCAAGGTCATCCATATGGTGACTTGCTAACTATACTAACCGACAATACTAACAATGCTAGCTATGATTATTAACTATGCTAACACACTAACAATGCGGACTATGCTTATTAACTATCCTACAAAGCAATAACTATAATAACAATACTAACAATCTATACTAACTCTACCAACAATACTAATGGTACAAACATTGCTAGTTTAAAATACTATCTAAATTTGTTTAAATGAGAAAAACAAAACAATGAAAAAAAAGAATAAAAGAATAAAACAAAAATTAAGTAAATTAAAGAAATGGGGGGAGAACAAAAGAATAGTGAGAACAAGACAAAAAGAATAATAGAGAAGAAAAAAGAGAGCAAAAAAATAAGAAAAAGGAAATAACCAGAAAGCCCTAACCCCCCAGAGTGGCTGTACTTGGAGATGGGGCCTGTGACGTGCTCAAGGTTAAAGAGGTCAAAAGGATGGGACTCTGGTCCAGTAGGGCTGGTGCCCTGACAAGAAGAAGGGGCACCAGAGCGCCCCCTCTCTGCCATGTGAGCACAGTGAGAGGGCAGCAGGCTGCAGCCAGGAAGCGTGACCACACCAGGAACTGACCCTGGGGGACTTTGATCGGAGACTTCCAGCCTCCAGAAGGGGGGAAAGTAAACTTCTGTTGTTTAAGCCTTTCCTAGTCCCTGTGGTTTGGGAGACAATAATCTTCCATCATACCGGAATCAAAAGTGAGCACGTCACCTGGACTTGGCCAACCCACGGATTCCATCCCCTTTGCTTCAGTAACCAGTTTGCGGATGGATGTGTGACCCAAGTCCAGCATATCTGTGCCAGGACTTAACCACAGAACTATGCCAATGGAAGTTCTTTACCCACAGGCGGCTGCCATGGCTACTGCTTTGGGGAAACTGACCTGAGAGTGAGGCCTGCATGGAGAGCAGAGCTAAAGTGGCTCCTGGTGGTGTAATTTGAGTCCCTGCACCAAGCCAGACCTGATGCCCACCTGATTTGGAGGGGGTTGGGGCACAGTAGAGCTCTGATCAAAGCCATCAAAACACTGATCTTGTCTGAGTGCGAGGTTGTGTTCAGCACAATGAAGGAAGGAAGAAAGAGGACTCCAGGGAGAGAAACCCCAAGACTATGCATGCACGTGCATGTGGGCACACAGTTCAGGTCAGAGCAATGCACATCATGGGGGGACTTGCAGCCAACAGAGAGGAGGAGGGCTGCTCTACTCAAATGGGAAGTTATACCACATTACTGACCTCTTTGTATGATGTGCAATTTGCTTTGAAACAATAAAGAGACACATTAGGCAGATGTGACAAAGCGTAATGGTTGCATTAATTCAAACAGCACCAAACACGGCCCACAGCCCATTTGGAATCTTTAAAAATCCCCAGGCCACGCATCTCTCCCCGAGGAGGAAACCCTCAGTGTTGTCACTGTCCTTTTCTTACCAGGTCCAGGGCCTTAAATGCACCACTGCCTGGGCTCCCTGGAGGTCAGGCTGCCCGGTCAAGGTCACACAGCTCATCAGGGCACAGAACACAGACACAGGCTTTCTTACTAAAACCTTGTGTTTGACTCACCGACAGAGGTAGGTTCCTGGGAAGCTATGGAACAGGGTCCCTCACTAGTAGGGACCTTTCTTAAATCCTGCACATAATTCTGGATTCTATTTCTTAAAAAGCACCATTCAAACTGGCCTCAGACGTTCAAGGACAGCCCCGTCAGTATAGGGAGACGCCTGCCCGCCCATGCCACTGCAAGGAGTGCCTGATGCTGACAGCACGAGACGAAAACATGGGGGTTACTGAAAACCTCCTTGGAGCTTCTCCCTTTTCTACCGAGGACAGGTGATTCTCAGCAGCCCGGAGCCTCCGGTCCTCCCATACCCGCAGTGCTTCAAACAGGCCACCTCGGGGCCTTTGCACAGGGGGATGGTCCCCAATACTCGGCCCTCTCTTGGCCTAGATGATGCCTGCTCCTCCTGCAGCTCTCCCACCCAGCCATCAGCCCCTGGGGCCTCTAGGTCAGCGGTTCTCAACCTTCCTAATGCCTCGACCCTTTAATACAGTGCCTCATGTTGTGGTGACCCACAATTTCATTGTTACAAATTGAACATAATTAAAGCATAGTGATTAATCACAAAAACAACATGTAATTATATATGTGTTTTCCGATGGTCTTAGGCGGCCCCTGTGAAAGGGTCGTTTGACCCCCAAAGGGGTCGTGACCCACAGGTTGAGAACCGCTGCTCTAGGTGAATTCTAGCTCTCATTACTGCCTTCCTGACGCCCAGCAATGCAAATGGTGCACAGTAAACACGGGGTAAACGTTGTTTAGTGGATGGAGGTGGGAAGGCTGAGCAAGGCTACAGGGACAGCATGTATAAAGAAACAGTGGGCGGGGTGTGCTAGGGGCAGGCATATGGCTCAAGAAGCCTGGACACTGGGAAGGCATTGGGGAGCGATGGGGAGTGGGGCAGGGAAGGACGCAGGGCCTGTTTTCGTTCTCTCTCTGGTTTTTCATGCACCTGTTTTACAGACAGGGAACTCTGAGCATGATTTGCCTAAAGTCCACAGCAGTGAGGGGTGGTGGGTTCCAGAACTCCTGTCTCTGTGTCAGGTCAGAGTGTCTTTGCCCAGCGCTGGCCCCACCTGAGGAGGGCTTCTCCCGTTGACACAGAGAAATGAAGCGCTATCATTGACCCTGCCAGGGTGGCCCCAACAGAGGCACAGTGACGGGGGTCACCTCAGGCTCTCCCCACTCAGTGGGCCCTGGGCAGCGGGAGCCGCACCGTCTGCAGAGGCGCTGCTTCTGCTTTCATGGTGCTGTGTCTGCTGCTGTTTGGAATTTCATGGTCTGGCTCTGACCTCGGACAACCAAGACTGGTCGTCCTGGCTGCCAGTTACATTCGTGGGTGCAGTTATGGAGAGCTGCCACTCGTCCACACACCGATAGAAGCCAGGTCTGCGGGTAGGACACATCCCTCCAGTCCATATTACACTGGGGGGAACTGTTTGACACTTTCTTCTTTCCTCCTTCACCAGCCAAGTTCTCCTGGGCAGCAGGGTCTCAGCCTCCTGCCTTTGAGGGTGGAGGGAGGAGGGGGCTCTGGGTTGCAAATGCAACCATGGCCAGGAGTTGCTGCAGCAGGGTCGGGCACATAGTAGGTCGGTCTTCCAGAAATAGCTGTTGAATGGAGGATAAAGGTGTAAATAGCAAGGCCGTGTGTGGGACTTAAGCAGAGAATTCTGAGGAAGAATTCACATGAGGTGGTGATTGGGATATCAGGCTCCTCCTGGTTACTCTGTCTGTGCTTCAACCAGTCTCCAGAGATGGTAACTGCAGGTTTATGGGGTACAAGGGATGTAGCACTGCACTAAGTGGCAGGCTGCTGGGGAGGAGCCCAAGCCAGGGCCAGGCACTGCACCACTTCTGCTCACCCTGGGCCTCCACTGTACCTACTGCTGCTCAGTAGCGCTGCTGCAGCAGTGGGAGAGGCTCCCACCACCACAGCTGTGCTTGCCAGCTGTGAGCCTGTTTCTGGCTGAGTGGTGCTCCCATTGTGGGAGCCCACTGACCACCAGGGGGCAGCTCCTGCATTGAGCATCTGCCCCCCTGGTGGTCAGTGCATGTCATAGCGACTGGTTGACCTGTCATTTGGTTGTTCTGGTCATTCGGTCGTAAGGGTTGCTTAGGCTTTTATATATATATATGTAAATTTCACTTGCCTAGAAAGGGAACAACAGATTAGAAATTCAGAAGGGTGGATTTAGTGAGAAAAATGTGAGCCATTTCAGCTTTCAAGGAAAATGAAAAGGTAGTACTTTAGACAAGGGATATGGATGTGGAAATAGAGAAAAACTACTACATTGAAGAGATAGGAGGATCTAGTGAGGGGCAGAGAGAAGCAGAGAGGAGTGAGTCTGTGGCCCAGGAACAGATGGTAGAAGACACACAGCTGACATGGTTTCCCATTTCTTACCCGTCGCTGACTCCAGTTTTTTTGAGTAGTTCAGCTGCTCTAATTGGTTTGTTCTTGGTCCTCTATTCTTATAATAAATATTCCTTCTTTAGAAAAATAAACATGAGATAAGTAGAGGGGGAATAAATGGATTAATAAGGTGATGAGCTGCTCAGTAAGCTGACAAATGAGTGACAGAATGACCAGGGGAATTAATTCATGTCCCCTTATACTCAAAGTGTGAAGAGAAACCAGACTTAACCATAGGAAAAAGAAAGTCCTTCTCACTGGGCTTGCCTCAGACGAATCCCCCTCTCCTTTACCAACAAACACATCAGGGAGCTCTCTTCTTCCAGGCAGCCAGGACCAATTTCAGCCACAAGAAAGAAAAAAGGGGGTGGGCAGGAGAAGAAGAGGGAAGGGGGAGGGAAGTGGATGATGGATGGGTTCCTAGGACCCTCTACATCAGTGGTTCTCAACCTTCCTAATGCCACGACCCTTTAATACAGTTCCTCATCTGTGGTGACCCCCAACCATAAAATTATTTTCATTGCTACTTCATAACTGTAATTTTGCTACTGTTATGTATCGTCATGTAAATATCTGATATGCAGGATGTATTTTCATTGTTACAAATTGAGCATAATTAAAGCATAGTGATTAATCACAGAAACAATATGTAATTGTATATGTGTTTTCCAATGGTCTTAGGCGACCCCTGTGAAAGGGTAGTTCGACCCCCAAAGGGGTCGAGACCCACAATTTGAGAACCGCTGCTCTACATCATCCTCTCGTCTCCTTTCCTCCTTTCCATCAACCTCCCTACACTTCCCTTTCAGAGTCCCTCACTGCCTTTCAGGGTTGGGAGGGCTTGGGATTCACAAACTCCCCCAAAGAGATTTTCAGTAGCAGCAACAGCATCAGGCAACCTTCCAGGAACTTGGAGCCAGAGGTCCTCACAGACACAGAACCCCCAGATCCTCCTCTGTCCTGGGCTGACTCACAGCTGGAGAGACATGTTCTGAGACTGAGCACAGGATGTCAGAGCTGAGGGGGAGGTGGATCTCATTACCCCAGAGCCTCATGTTGCTAATGAGAAAGCAGAAGCCCAGAGAGGGGAAGCAATTCCCTCAGGACCACACAGCTAACCTCATAAGCCTGCTGAGGCAGAACTCATTTCCTTTGGAAGACTCCTGGGTGATAAGAAGCTTCTCAGGATAATTAACAATTTTAAAAACTCACAGTAGCTCACAGGTGCTCAGTAGATGTTTGTTGACTAAATAAATGACATAATGACACAAAAGCATGCCTGTCAGCTGAAAATTGACTAAAATCCTGAGACAAGCTTTGGCAGAGAAGAGATGCTGACAGGTATCCTTTTGTAAACAGAAGACAACAGGCCATGGGTAGAGAATATGGGCAGGTTCATCCCAGGAAATTAAGCACAGAGGAAACTGGACACTTACTCCTGCTCTATCAGGCATCACACTACCTCCCACTCCAGGAACAGGGTGAACAGCTCACAAGCTTCCATCAAGGTCCTATGACCCAGAGCTGACCAATCAGTACATTTCACATCCTAAACCATAGTGATTGGCTCAGGGCTGGGCATGTGACAGTCAAGTCCCATGAGTCAGTCCCCAGTGTTGGAATCATGGGAGAAGAGAAGTTCTATTTCAGTTGGAGAGCTGAGCAGTTATGCTCTGAGTCTGTGGCTGTTGGTGGCCATCTTGCTTTCATAAAGAGAAAGCACAGGTGAGAATAACAGCAGCGCAGAGGGAAATAAGCAAAGCCAAGAGGTCAGAGGGGTATGTTTGCTGAATTCATGGAGCGCTCAGGTAGTCTTGCCTGAGCTGTCTACACTTAGACATCTCAGTTACATAAACTGTTTTCTCCTGCTTTGATTGATTGCCTCCATTCTAATCTGGATTTCCAAATGGTTCAAGTGGTATCTGTTGAGATCTGGGCACTGGCCAAACCAAATTAATCTCATGGGATTAACCCTGTTGAGTAGCAACGATGTTTCCATTTTAAAGGGCAAGATTGATGCTCAAAGAAGGGAGGTAAGTGGTTCATAGTGAGGAACTGAGGAGCCCGACCACACACCAAAATTCCACAGCGTGTACTCTGGGAAACTGCATAATGTAGTCTGTGCTCCTGACAATGGCTTAGGCATCCTAAGCCCAGTGCACTGTGGGTGCCTGAGACTTGGACACTGATACCTGGCAGTTAGGAGACTCGTAGAAGCAATTTGCTTGGAAGGAAGGAAGGAAGGAAGGAAGGAAGGAAGGAAGGAAGGAAGGAAAAGGAAAAGGAAAAGGAAAAGGAAAAGGAAAAGGAAAGGAAAGGAAAGGAAAGGAAAGGAAAGGAAAGGAAAGGAAAGGAAAGGAAAGGAAAGGAAGGAGGGAGGGAGGGAGGGAGGGAGGGAGGGAGGGAGGGAGGGAGGGAGGAAGGAAGGAAGGGAGGGAGGAAGGGAGGGAGGGAGGGAGGGAGGGAGGGAGGGAAGGAAGGAAGCAGGACTTTCCTTCACTGATAACACCACACCCTCCCAGCTTCCCCATGCCTACCATCCTTTTCTCTAGTTTTGCTTGGCAATTAGAGTCATTCATGCTTTTGTGACCACACAAGCATTCCCCCATTTTCAGTCTGGCATCTGGAATTGCCACGGGTGAGGCCAAGAGCCTTCGCCTACCCACTATATCAAGGAACATCTTCCTTTGGGTTTTGGGGGACCCTACTCCCCACTTGCACATCAAGGTCTTTTCCAGGACATGCAGAGAACCTCACCCAGTGTGAAAAGGATCTATCTATTAAGTTCTTTCCACAACTCCCTTGCCCCGTAGCTCATGCTCTCCTTTCTATGCACAAGGCTTCCTGTTGCTATAATAGGAAGCTGAGCTCACCATAAATCAATAGCTCAGCACTTAAATGCAGGCATGAGGCTGATCTGAGAGTTGGGACCTGCCACTCAAGCTGAAGAGGCTGCAGAAGCTCACAAGGTCTGCAGGCCTTGCTTGGGT